GCTTCACGAAGAAGGTTATTCGCAGCGCCAAATTTCTTCCAAAACAGGATATTCGAAGACTGCTATTAGAGAAATCATTAAAAAGTTTAGAGAAACTGGCTCCCTTCGAAATAGAAAGAAAAGTGGCAGACCTCCTAAGCTAACAAAAGATGACAATAAATATTTAAAAACCCTTTCTTTAAGAAACAGGAAAAAAACATCCACCGAATTGGCAAAGGACATTAATACAGCAACAGGGAAAAATGTTAGCTCTTCTTGTATTCGACGACACCTACTCAAATCAGGATTACGAGGCTGCGTTGCTATTCGAAAACCTTTATTACGGCGTGGCAATAGAGAAAAACGACTTAAATATGCAAAACAACACAAAGATTGGACCCAGGAAATGTTTAATCGGGTTCTGTTCACTGATGAGTCCAAATTTGAAATTTTTGGAACGAAAAGACGTCAATATGTTCGAGGAAGAATAGGAGAAGCCTATCAGCCCGAGTGTTTAAACCCTACTATTAAACACGGAGGAGGCTCTTTACAAGTTTGGGGCTGTTTATCTTCATCTGGGGTAGGTGATCTGATCAAAATAGAGGGACGACTCACCGGGGAACGTTATGTGGATATTCTAAGACAGCATGCTATACCATCCGGAATGAGACTAATGGGCCATAATTTTATTCTGCAGCAGGACAATGACCCAAAACATTGTTCCCGAGTGGCAAAAAATTATTTAAATGAAATGGAAGAAGAAGGAATACTGGAAATGATGACCTGGCCTCCCCAGAGTCCAGATTTGAATATAATCGAGCATATTTGGGATTACATGGACAGGAAAAAGGTCGAACATGCTCCCCGAAATGCTGAAGAATGTTTTCAACTACTTCAAAGAGAATGGCACAACATACCGCAGGATTTTATAACAAATTTGTATGAATCTATTTCCCGGCGAATATCGGCTGTGATTAAGGCAAAAGGAGGACATAGTAAATATTAAGGGTTTTTTTATGAAGTGTGACATTAAAAAGTTTGTTATTGTTCCATATTTTGTGTGAAATATATGTATTTTAATAATTTTATAATATAGAATTCAAAACTTAAATATTAAGGAAGAATTCTCTTGGATTTTTTGAGAAAATGTAAGTGGTCTAAAACATATTCACAGTACTGTATATATATATATATATATATATATATATATATATATATATATATATATATATATATATATATATATATATATATATATATATATATATATATATATATATATATATATATATATATATATATATACATATATAAATATATATATATATATATATATATATATAAATATATATATTTATATATATATATATACATATATAAATATATATATATATATATATATATATATATGTATATATATATATATATATATATATTATACATGTATATATATATATATATACATGTATATATATACATATATACATATATATATATATATATATATATATATATATATATATATATATATATATATATATATATATATATATATATATATACATACATGTATATATACATGTATATATATATATATATATATATATATATATATATATATATATATATATATATATATTTTCCTGAACTTTTACAAAGAAAAAAAAAAGAAAAAAAAGAACTGCCTTTATCACAGCGGGACTTCGTTAGTTCCCCTGTTGGCAAATGCTTTGTCATTTTTTATAAATTACTTATATTATTATTATTTATATTATTTATATATGTATATATGTGTATATATGTGTATATATATATATATATATATATATATATATATATATATATATATATATATATATATATATATGCAAAAGAGTAAAAAATATATTTTATATAGAGTCATTCGAATAGACATGTCAGGAAAAAAATCCCATTATAAGATAATTAAAGTTTTTTTATAAAATTAGCTTTTTAATATCAACTTATTTCAGAATGAAAGTTGGTGCAGCTAACTTATTTCTTATGTGCTTTTAAATCAGTATTTCGTGGCATAAAATAAAAATAACACAATTAGCAGTTGAAATACATTTTGCGATGTTTACCACTAAACAAAATTATTCTTACCTCATTTATAGAATTCTTTCTTCAACTGCTGACTAATGGTAAATTAAGTAAATTTCATATCATGAAAGTTTACTAAATATAAACCATATTTCAACAGCAGACTAGTACAAAATACAGACAAAGGTAGAACTAAAAAAATGGAATTAAAAAAATACAATAACAATTAAGTCATAGATAACAAAAACCATTTATAAACAATAAAATCCACAACGATTGTATAAACAATTTGCACTTTTAAACAGTGGAAATAGTTCAGCACCTTATTAACCCCTGCATAGACCCATAAGCAAGATTCCAATATAAAATTCTAGTAAACACTTACACTTGCCTTTTAATAGATTTAAATGTTTAGATGAGATCTAAGTTGTAACAATTTAACTCTACAAAAAGTAAACTTTGACCATTTTTTTTCATAAAATGATTTGTAAATATTCATAACTTAAAATTTCAATTACTTCACAACTTAAATTTTCCACTATTTCACAACTTAAAATTTCAACTAACTCACAACATAATTTTGAACTAATTCAGTACTTGAATTTTTAAAACAAAAAGATAACAGATATCACTTTATTACAAAAAGTAAATTACAATCTAATGATGAATAAAACTGAATTTTAGAAATACCTGTTTACAACCAGAAACACCTGCAATATTGAAAAATAAAGAACAGGTACTAAACAAGTATAAAAAGGAAAGATATAATAAAAATTAGATATCTTTAAACTTGTAAACAAAATGAAATAAAAACTTATATAAAATGTAGAACAAGTCTATTTTTAAAAAAATATAAAAATAATTTATTTTTAATTTAAAAAAAATTAGTTATAAAAATCATAACTTTACCAATTCAAGATATTTAAGATATTAAAGAAAAGTTACTTTAAATATGTTGAAATACATAAATATCTTTGAATAAGAATAAATTTTAAAAATTCAACAAATTAAATTCTAATTTAAAAAAATATATACATGTATATACAGCCATCTTTTCAAAATATACAAAAATACTTGATTTTAGAGTGAAATAAATAATTTCATAAACAATTTATTAATATTTTAATATTTTATTGCACCTCTTTTGGTCTTTATCACCTCTGCAATTCTTTGCTTCATATTGCCAACTAATTTTTCACATTCTGCCTGTGTAATTTTTTTAAGAGCAATAACTTCTATATGTTTTTTTTGAAGTGATCTTTTGGGTCCTGACCCTTCTTTTAAGCAATACCTATAAATTTTATGTGGGGTTAAGTTCAGGGGACTGTGCCAGTTATTCTAAATTTTGGACTTTATTTTTTACGAATCATTCCTTTGTATGATGTGCAGTATGGCATGGAGCATTGCCTTGCAGAAACAATATTGAAGATTTACCTTCATTTTGAAATATTTTATTGACAGATGTGTCATAACAAGTTTCTAAAACATAAATATATTTTTTCGAATTTAGACGCCTTTTGCACAAAAATATTTCCCCTGAAACATTTCCCATGGTTCTTCTGCAGCTATACAAGCCCATATCATTACACTACCTTCACTAAATTTAACAGTAGGCACTAGACAAGCTGGTAAAAATGCTTTACCAGGTCTTCTTTTCACATACGTTACATCAAGAATTCCAAAAGTCTGTAAAAGAAAATCCAAAACATCAGGTTTTAGTGCTTATTCATTTTTTATGCAAGTTTAGATATAAGGATCTATTTAATCATTATTTCTAAAAAACATTGATAGTTTTTACTTACCTCTAAGCTGGATTTATCAGACCAGATTACTTTACTCCATTTTGCAGATGTTCAATCTTTGTAGCATATTTCATTCTAGTCTTTTGTTCTTATTTTTTTCTGAGAGCCAAGGTTTATTTCTTGCCTTGCAGCCTTTCAATCCACATTCTATCAATCTTCTTACCACAAGGTTATGTGATAGCGATAAAGACAATTTATGATGATTTTCCATTCATGATATCATGTGATGATTTTTTATAGCCATTTGTGATATCATGCGGTCTTCTTGAGCTGTTTCTTTTTCTTTCAACATCTACTTTTAAGACTTCCAAACATTTTGTGCGTTTTAAAGTTAGTTGCACTGCACCACAGGAACATTTCAATATTTTTGCAGTGTTTTGTTCAATTTCTCCTATCAAATGCGAAAGAACAATCTGCCCTCATATTCCTTCACTTCACAGTTCACAAGTTCATATCATTTTCCCAATAATTTTTCTTTATAATTCTTCTTTATTATTCTTTTTTATAATTCTTCTTTATTATTCTTATTATCATTTCATAATTTTCTTTTTTTATTTAATTTTTTTAATTGGTTTATTTTTATTTATTTTTTATTTTATTTTTTTTTAAGATTCCCTTATTATTAGAAAATCTTCTTTCTTTAAATTATCAGCCAAAAATAGATACTTACAAGAAAAAGACTTGCATCAATCATACTGATGTAAGAAGTATGATTGCATCAATATTGATGCAAGTCTTTTACTTGCAAGATATAACTTTTTATTATTAAGTTAAACCTGCAACAAGTCGTAAATTTTATTTTTTCTATCAAACAGAGCAAATGTTCTAAAAAGTAGACGTTTTAAGCTTCCAAAGTAAAAACATAAAATCTTTTAAAATAAATTGAAAAGAAATTTAAAAATTAGAAAATTGAAAAACTCATTTTTCCTACTATCGCATATCGCCCAAAATATAAACAAATTAATTTTTCATAATTACTCGAAAATTCTTGTCCGTTCGTAATTTTCTCGAAATTTCTCTAAACGATAAAAGACTCTGCTACGAAGAGACCTGTGATTTACGATGGTCAAGTAATACAAATGAAGTATTAATGCAAACGTTATTTAAGTATTTTTAGTAAGACTGTTCACTGTCAATCTTAGGTTTGTTTGTATCCACCGCACTATATTTTTACTACTCCATTGCTACTTGTATATAAATGAAAAGCTAAGTGTATCGCTAATAAAATAAAACACAAACTTTAATCGCATAATTGTGTAGTTGATAATCATCATGGTTAAAGAAACAAAGCTATATGATATTTTACAGGTTCAGCCTGATGCTGCTCCTGATCAAATAAAAAAAGCCTACCGTAAACTTGCTCTAAAGTATCATCCTGATAAAAATCCTGATGAACCTGAAAAGTTCAAAGAAATTTCTGCTGCATTCGAAATACTAAGCGATCCCAAAAAAAGGGAGATTTATGACAAATATGGTGAAAAAGGAGTCAAAGAAGGTGGTGGTGACATGCATTCACCCTTTGATGTGTTTGATATGTTCTTCGGGGGTGGTGGAAGACGCCGACATCCAGGAGAAAAATCAAGAGGTCGAGACACTGTACACCAACTTAAAGTTTCGCTTGAAGAATTGTATAATGGTGCTGTTCGTCAGCTTGCTGTTCAAAAAAATGTCATTTGCTCTGATTGTAATGGTATTGGCGGGAAAGCTGGGTCTGTACAGAAATGTAATAACTGCAATGGAACTGGAGTCGACGTGAAGTTACGTCAAATTGGACCAGGTATGGTGCAGCAAATTCAACAACCTTGTCGTGAATGCAACCAAACAGGTGAAAAAATATCTGATAAGGACAGGTGTAAAAAATGTAACGGAAATAAAGTTATTAAAGAACGTAAAGTTCTAAAAGCTAATATAGACAAAGGAATGAAAGACGGTCAAAAAATTGTTTTTGATGGGGAGGGTGACCAAGCTCCAGATACAGAGCCAGGAAATATTATTTTAGTTCTTGATGAAAAAGAGCATGAGATCTTTCAGCGTAAAGGTCGTGACTTGCATATAAATATGGATATCGGACTTGCAGAAGCATTATGCGGATTTACTAAAGTTGTAACAACACTCGATAAAAGAAACCTTGTTGTGACCTCTCTTCCTGGTGAAATTATTCGTCCCAATGAGTTAAAATGTGTTATGGATGAAGGTATGCCAACACATAAAAATCCATTTGAAAAAGGCCGCCTGGTTATACATTTCAATATCAAATTTCCAGAAGATAATTGGCTGGACACAAAAAAATTACATTTACTCGAAAAACTATTGCCACCTCGAGAAAAGTATGTAGCTGCTGATCTTTCGGAAGAAGTTTTCTTGTCGAGAGTTGAGGATTTGCCTCATTATCAACAAGAACGAATGGATTATGATGAAGGTAATGAAGAGCAACATGGTCGACAAGGTGTTCAGTGTCAAACTTCATAATTTTTTTCTATGAATAATGTAATTTTGTATTATTCAAGAATATGGTCGGTCGTTCTAATATATCGTTGTTTTTTTGTCTTTAAATATTAATTATGGTTGCAGTTGATATTGAAAAATGGCTTATTTTAATTCAAAGATATCAGTGTATATCAGAAATTTTATATCATGTATATGATATAAAATTTCTGTAAAAACTTATTACAGTAATAATATTTAATGGTGTTCATATTTACTTGTGTATTGAGAAAAAGTCTACTGGGAAGTATGTATCCAGTAAAGTATCTCTGTAATAAGCACACATGGAAAAAGCCACTAGTCACATTTAAAAAGTTGTGAGTAAGTATATATTGATCAGTTATAAATGTATTTATATAAAGCAAAGAAGTCTTTAAATTAAAAAAAAAAAAAGACATTTCTTGATTATCTAAAGTTTATATTTTTAAAATTTTTTTGCTTATTTTCCCAATGCTTTTATTAACTGGTCTCTGTTAATCTGTCTGTTAACATCAAATCTTGCAATCAGTTTTTTAGTCACTTCCTGATGATAAACTTTCTTCAAATCTTTCACACATACTCTTGCTTGATGTCAAAACAATACTCAATAATTAGTTTTGCAATAAGTCAATTAATTTAGTTAATTTTATTTTTTATATGGAAAGAGGAAGAAGAAGAATATTTATATCCGATTAGCAAAACTCCATGAAAAATAAATTTAACCTCAATGACTTAATCAAATAAAATAGTAATATCAGAAAAAATTTATTGCAAAATTTGTTTTAATAACATAAAAGCATTGGATTTAAAAAATTCCTTTTTAATTTTACTTGTTATTAATTTTTTTTTTTTTAACTTTATAAAAAGACTTTAATGAACGATCAATATATACTTTCTCAAAACTTTTTTTAACGTGACTCTACACTGTTTTTTCCCTTGGTGCTCTTCAATCTAATTTTATATCTTTATAGTCCACAGGGAAACAAGTAACCAGTAAAGTATTTCCGTAATTTAGTTTTATAGTTAAAATATTTTATTTTTTATGTTATTTGATTTTTAAATAATCTTTTTAGCATAACTAAACAACTTTTAAGCTTTTGAATTAAGGTTTTTTTTTTCTGTATGAAAAATCGGTTATCGTGCAACTACGAACGAGGGCGTTAAAATAAATTTAATTTAGGCCGCAAGATTACCTGTAACTTAAGGATTACCGAAAATTCACTAATAGATAATTGTTTTATTCAAAATAATTATTCACAAAAACTATAAAGAAAACTTTGGGGTAGGTAAGTATCCTTTTAGGTAATTCAAATTTTTACTCATGAGGTGCGTCATGCGAAAGGTACCTAGTCTTCAAAAACTAGTTTAAGAAATAAATTGTAATAGATATACTTGCTAAATTTCGAAATATGCATTAATTTTAACAAGATCCAAGCATAATTTTTAGGAATCGTTCATAAATTACGCAAAGTTAAATTTAGAGGGTTTATCTAAACCAAAAATTCAAAAGCGGTGAGTTTAGTTAAATTTATAGTTTAATAAAGCTCACCGCGCAAAAGAAAAAATAATTTCCTACTTAGATTTTTCATATATACAACATTTCCACAAAAATGCCTTACACATCATCGGAGTTGATGCAACCAACTCGAGCCCTTTCAATATTTGTTTTGACATTGAAGAATTACTAGACAAGACCTGTATTATTATCAATTAAAAGATCCTTGCTGACACAAACCATCAGGTAACAGCTAAATTACCTTGCACCAATAGCAGAAACCCCAACAGATTAAATACCCATACGCTCTAAATACCGCAACCACTACTACCTACCATCAATACTTTATTCAAAAATACCTACGTGTTCCTCGTGATGGTGTCAGTGATATCTACCTCCCACGAAACATTGGAAGCACCGCTACCTTTTCAACACATAAATAATCAGTTCTTTTTCCTGCGTTCTTAGCTAACTTTTACTCCATATATAATAATAAATAAAATTATACAATACATTACTTCTAATGCTAATCAATTTTAAATAAAGATTTATAAAATGAAATGTAATTTCCAATTACTTATAACACAAAGGTTAGTGTTGTAAAAAATTACGTTATAGAGTAATTTTTTTCAAGTTTTAAAATTATTGAACTTTCTTCTTCATTCAATTCTCGACGCTTAAAACCAAAAAATATTTTTTACACATTTTGTATAAGCAACTTTGAGTCTCTTTAACACAGTGGTCTTAATACCTTAACACAAAGCTATGCCATAAGACTTAGTAGAATAAGTTTTAAACAAATAAATTTGTATGTTAAATGTACGTAGTAACACATTAGCTTTGGCATAAATCTTGTCAGTTTTATGGCACAAATATCAAAGATATGATTTTTTTACATTGAATTTCATATCTATTTCAGTAACAGCAATAGAACACATATTCAATAGACGTGTGCCAAGATGGAGCAAAAAATATTAAATCATCTGTTTACTATAAGATGTTAACAGGTGTACCATCACAACCGAGTATTAATTCGGCAATAGATTGACTTTTATCACGCATGTAAATGTAAAACAAATGGGGAGATAATACACTATCCTGTCTGGTACCATTCATTACTTTAAAAGATCCATTAAAAATGTTTTTCCACCAGACATTCATCTGTTGGTTTACATATGAAATAAAATTATCAACTTAACTAAGTTAAATAAAAGTTAATGTGATTAGGTTTTTAAACATAGTTCTATAATTTACAAAATTTGTGTGGTAAAATAGTTGTTTACATCATATCCGAAGGAAAATTGCAATATGCTACACAAATGTTAATAACAATGTTAAAGCACAAACAATAACTCGTCTCCAAATATAAATGCTTGAGCTACTTTACAATCAGGTTCACAAGCTTTGTTGTTTTTTAACCAACTTTGTTGTAATTTATAACATATACAACACCTGTTGTGATTTATAACATTTATAACACCTGTTGGTACTATAAGTTGAGAATTCAGAAAGTAAACTATTAATAACATGTCTATTATAAAGTTGCCTAAAAGAATCTTTTCATATATTAGCAATCGATTCATCGCAAGTCACACCCTATACAGTTGTTGTTTTACGCATCAACTTATCATAGGACATCTTTTTAATATTTTTTCAGAAATTGTTATCTTGGTTAATTGTTTAGCTTTTACTTAGGCACCATTTCTGAGCATTTTTTTTCCATTATTTTGGCAGTACCTCGATGAAGCCTAAAATACACGTGTACGTTTCATGAAACGTACACGTGTTATTTTATTATAATTTTAAATTATTTTAAATTTATTGAAAATTATAAATTTAAATTATTTTAAATATAAAATTATGAAGCAATGCATTACTTCATAAATGTAAGCAGTTTGTGGCTCGCCATTTATAAGCCATTCACAAAAACCTTCCAAAAAAAAAGCCTAATTTATACCTATATATATATATATATATATATATATATATATATATATATATATATATATATATATATATATAGGTATAAATTGTCTGCCTTAATATATATATATATATATATATATATATATATATATATATATATATATATATATATATATATATATATATATATATATATATATATATATATATATATATATATATATATATATATATATATATATATATATATATATATATATATATATATATATATATATATATATATATATATATTAAGGCAGGCCATAATCTAAAAATTTTAAAAATTACACGTGGTTGCATAAAAAGTTGTTCTTTACCATATAGAAATTATTATTTAAAAAATAAAAGTTTTCTATGATGTTTCTGCCGCATTTTATTTAAAAAATCACGTTTTTACGCAAAAATATCACTACAAAAATTTAAGTGATGTGGGATTGGGACATATTTTTTCCTACATCTATCAACTTTAACGCAATGTTAGCCTTTAGCAGAAACCTTATTTGAAAAGAGACTGAAGACTGAGACCTCCTCAGTTAGATATCATGAGTGCCTGTTAAGAACTTCTTGAGCTTTCTGAGCTGCATTAGAGAAGCCTGAGATCTGCCCTAGAGCGTCTTTCAAAAAAATTTTCAAAGAAAAGTTTTCATTGATTTACAATCCTCTAAAAGTTGTAGCTCCATTCCTAACTCCTGTAGGTTTTATTGATAATATTTTTCCTTCAACACAATTAGGAAAGCCACTGACCAAAACAGTTAAATACTCAAACTTTTGCCCTAAGATTTGTTTTAAAAGTTTTCCGTCCCAATGAAGTGTCAAATAATCTGATTTAATCTTATCTTGAAATTTTGTTATTATTTTCCTTGCCATTACTTGCCTATTTAGCTTTCGTGATCTTCTTATAGTATTTATTGAAAGGCTAACACCGTCAGGTTTACACCACCTGTATAAAATTAAAAAATATATATTTCTTTTTAGATTGTATAAAATAATCTTATTTATTTATTAATAAAATACAAACCTAAAACTAGAATTGCAGAAGTATTCATCATCAGCTGAGGATTTGATAGCTTAGTTCTATCTGCAATTGCTGTTATTATTGAGTGAGAAATAAAGTTTTTTGGCAAAACCAGTGTGATACTATCTGATCCGGTATCTTTTTTTTCTCCTTGCTTCCTTTTAGAAATATTAAACTCAGAATTACCTTTAGTAGAGTTTTGATATGCAGAACTCATAGAACGACTAGATTTAGTGACATAAGAATCTTCAGCTGAGTCACTACTATAACCAACCAACTGAACAGTTTCTTCATCATCTATTTTTCTTCTTTTTTTATTTTCAGTTGCCACCTGTTTCTTTTCAATTCTTTCTTTTTTTTCCTAACATTAGAATGTAGCACATTATCTTTTACACCAATTCCTCCAGTTTTTATTTCCATTTTGAAGAGCTGTAAACCAAGCAATATCTTCATCTGCATCCTTAGCTGATCTGGTTTTTCTAATGTCATTTTTCCAACTAGGAGAACTATTATCAAAAATGCCATCTAATGATTGAATAAAGTTTTGTTCAAGTAATCTTCTTATTAGAAATTCTATTTTTAGATTTT